AGCCACTGCATGCATGAATTTTCATCCATGCGCATTGAAACTCGTCCCAGATCACGAACCGCGTTCAACCGTAGTAGTCTACCGTAGCTGCCCTATCTTAAACTCCCTAGTGAAGCTAACTGTGGCCCCAACTAGTTTTATCGACATAAATGGCAGAGACTTCACCGTACAAGTATGTAGAAATTGAAATTCTACACAGTATAGATATAGGAAATCACCAACTGCRAGAAAATCCAYACCAAACCGGTGAGACAGATTTGGCATTCATAATACTTTCTCGCCAGGAGATGTTCACACAACGACGGTCAAATGCAAATGAAGCGTAATGAAACTTTTAACTCACAATGCTTCACGCGACTTGATCACCCTTCTCTGGGTGCACGTGATATTATATATATGTCCTGCAGTCATAAATACATAATAATGATGTAATGCCTAGATTTATTATATTCGGGAAAGTCCCTTCCTCTCGGTACATGATGTGTTTGCATATCCTACTATCCAACGAAGAGTACATTTTTATTTTTTCGGTATGTACGACGAAATTTCCTACTTTGTTTCTTATTTCTCAACCGAATCAAGTAACCACGTCTTCGTCAAAGTGGAAAGCCCTTTTATGTTATTATTAAAAGGGACCATTATTGTGGTAAAACTTACTATTCATTCCTAATTCTCGAAGTTTTCTAAATGATACCAGTCAGCTCATGAAACTACATTTACCAATTCTCTTCTCGTTTATTCGCCATTTATTTAATCTTTTATTTGGTTTCTATTTATGCGAAATTTTGTATAATTGTTGCTGAAACGCCTTTCGAAAGGAGCTTCGTGAATAAAGTGCGTCTCACATGAAAATGATACCAAATATGGAGATCCAAACAGAGACAGATTTTTATGTATATTCTTAAATATTTCTGCGTCATGATTATTTTTATTTGAAAGTAAAATACACACAATTCGTAGCCGTAATTTCAATGTTACTAAGCCAAATGTCTGTGGCAGAAAACTACATATAATAATAATGATGTACGTTTTTTTACTGTGTTTGTGGTTCTATTAAAAAATCTTTATTTGTGAAAGAGAAAGATAAAAATATACTGTAAGCTGCAAATATGGATACATTTTCCTGATTGAAACATCTACAGTGACTTACCTTTAGAGTATAAGATCAGGGAGGTTTGATGGCGATGTTACATCATCTTGTTGGCAAAAGATAAGCCTTGAATACCAGAAGTTCACTTGGAGTCTTCCTTTGGATGTGATTTAGAAATGAGCTAGCAAGGCTTTACATAGTTTAATTTTGGAACGTAAGGGCTTTACACAGGCTTCTATTGGTAGAATAAAGTCACATGACTATGGGGGTTCCCCTTTGGGTGTTCCCCTATAGGGAATTCCCCTAATCCTAGCTATTCCGCAATATCCTTTGTCAACACGTTACACACTATATAGCTCTTTTAAAATATTTGGACAATAATTTACGTGCCTATCATTCAATGGTCACCGCTATTTTCGCTTCGATTTACATGTACAGCCATGGAAACCTTTCAACTGAGATAGCGCATGGACAGCAGGGAACTGTGAAAAAGACTTTTAGCCTTTCCTGAATTGCAGAACACGTTGCATTATTGGGCTGTTTTAGGGACGTACGCTTTAATACTTACATGGTGTTTTCGCTTGCTGATGGTGAAACGTGATAAGAAAACCTTAATTTTAGAGTTGTTAATCCCTTCTTAGCTTCAAACACAAATTAAAATGTTAGAAATAGCGGTGGGCATCAATGACAAGAAATAAAACCATTTCATAATCGATCATGGCTGTTTATTGATATACGTAATTATGTTTTTTTATAAAGAACTAAAAAAAGAGCCAAAACAATTCGTAATACATTTTTCTAAGATTGGTTCACTTCATTCTTTGTTTCTATATCATCTTAGCCTATCTACGAAGTTTCTTATGTCTTTAGTTTAGATTCGTTGTCTCTATTCAATTAAAAGTTGTTTGCTTAGTGGTGCTGAGCTGGTCTACTTATTTCATACAAGATAGCTATTACTTTTAAAAAGGAAGTGCCAATTTCCATCCTCCCCCTTCCCCATCCCTACTAGCAATGTTGGTCTATTAAGCGTATGAAGCGGTTGGCTAGTAAAATGCATGCCAAACAACATTACTGATGGGGAGGGGCGATATCCCAAAATAATACGCGGCACGTTTTTCTTTGCATGAGATTGTAAATTTAGTGCGATCGCCTCTCCATTAAACTGGGCGACAAAGATGTTCATCATGTTCAGTAGGGACCCTTATTGTCACTGCTTCCTCCCTCATGAATTGGGCTTGGCTACGTGATTCTTGCATAGGGGTTCGGTACCGAAGTCTCTCTCTTGCAACCAGTAGACATTGATGTTCATCATGCTCAATAGGGGCCCTTACTGCTACTGCTTCCTCCCTCACGAATTGGGCTTGGCTACTTGATTCTTGCATAGGAGTTCGGTTCCTATGTCTCTCTCTTGCACCCAGTAGATATTGGTATTCATCATGCTCAATAGGAACCCTTAATGTTGCTGCTCGCTCCTGCACAGGTTGTGCATGGCTGCTAGATTCTTGTACAGGAGTTCGGTACAGCCTGACCTCGGTAGGGCCATTTAATGTTGCTGCTCGCTCCTGCACGGATTGTGCATGGCTACTAGATTCTTGTACAGGAGTTCGGTACAGATATATTTCTCGTGCACCAAGTACATAAGCACGTTCATCTTGCTCGATAGAGTTCCTTAATGTTACTGCTCGCTCCTGCATAGGTTGCGCATGGCTGCTAGATTCTTGTACAGGAATTTGGTACAGCCTGGCCTCGGTAGGGGCATTTAATGTTGCTGCTCGCTCCTGCACAGGTTGTGCATGGCTGCTAGATTCTTGTACAGGAATTTGGTACAGCCTGACCTCGGTAAGGGCATTTAATGTTACTGTTCGCTCCTGCACGGATTGTGCATGGCTACTAGATTCTTGTGCAGGAATTTGGTACAGCCTGGCCTCGGTAGGGGCATTTAATGTTACTGCTCGCTCCTGCACGGATTGTGCATGGCTACTAGATTCTTTTACAGGAATTTGGTACACCTGTAGTTCAGTAGGGGGACTCAATGTTACTCCTTGCTTCTGAACAGATTGAGCATGGCTGCTTGATTCTTGTATAGAAATTTGGTACATCTGTAGTTCAGTAGGGGGACTTAATGTTACTGCTCGGTCCTTCACGAATTGTGCATGGCTGTCAGATTCTTGTACGAAAATCTCTCGTCCATCAGTAGGAAAATAGCCCATTGTATCCCGTTTTCCATCTAGCAGATAACCGTCTTTATAATTTATTCGCATAAAAAGGACATTGCCAAATTTTCTTTCACGGATTCTCTTTATGATTGTAGGTATGTGATTTGACAACGTTCCTTGTGCTTCTACTTGGTGCTTAACATTAGAGCGATGTTCGTGACAAATATATACTGTCAAAGCTTCCATCTGATATATTTTTCTGTCACACCAAGCTCCTTCCAGTTCATTGGCTGCTCTCCCTAAGAGTAAAATGTTGAAAGTGATCAGTAAATTTCATGTATGCGCCGGTAATAGACAGTTCACGGTTTTTTCAACTTTTGATATGAGCAAGTTACCAAAAATCGATTTAGCAAATTTCCCAAGTTATAGGGTGATTGGTTGGTAAATGGTAAAGATATAGCTTCGAACAGTTGTTAAATTTTACAGAAGTTTGTATGGACAGGGGCAAGTGAACGACAATAAGATCCGCTCCATGATTATTATTGTCAAAACGGCTCAAACTTACCCCCTAGGTTTCATCAATGGTTTCATTATTCGAATATTGAAATTTATTATTCTTTCCGAGAATACGAAGACTCAGGATTCGTAATAATAATCGATTCAAAACTCGAATTCTGATTGGATTATGGTGTTCCTTATATGGAATAATCCAATCAGAATTGAAGTTTTGAACCGGTTATTATTTCGAATCCTGAGTCTTCGTATTCCCGGAAAGAATAATAAATTTCAATATTCGAATAATGAAACCGTTGATGGAACCTAGGGGGTAAGTTTGAGCCGTTTTGACGGTAATAGACCTTATTCGTGGTGTGACAATGTTTTCCCAATTCAGCGTCACGAACCTCGAGGGGATTCATTTTCTTTTGTTTTTACTCTTCGAAAAATTCATGAKTATCCCAAAGGATAMGAAAGGAATAACGATGATATCCCGACGAGTTTCAAAGCAATAGCTCTTTATTCCCCCAGAGGTTTGTCACGCTGAATTGGGAAAACATTGTCACACCACGAATAAGGTCTATTGGTTCTTTGATTTTGACAGCCGGCTAGTCATTACATCATCATTCATTCATCCGGGGAATTCCCTATTGCGCAGTTTTAATTCAACAGACTGCTCACGTTTGGAATTTTTGATTCAAAGAAAATTACAGATATTTTACTCGTTTTCCCTCATTTTACATCATCATTCATTCATCCGGGGAATTCCCTATTGCGCAGTTTTAATTCAACAGACTGCTCACGTTTGGAATTTTTGATTCAAAGAAAATTACAGATATTTTACTCGTTTTCCCTAGAGAATTACGGTTTATTATCACTGCTAACCTAAATAAATAACGTAGACAAAAAATGGACAAGGGAAGCACAAATAACTATGACTTCTTCGCTGTCTTAAGTTAGTATGATAGATGCTGAATTCGGCTTATTTAGAATAATTTCCTTGACTTCCTCATTCAATTATTTTATTGCTGTCTAGCGAAAAAATACCTTGATGTTCAAGAGTAGTTTCAAAACAACACCTTCAATCAGTACTTTTCAAATTGGTTTATATATTTCCAAGTCTGGAGAGCGATTCTTTTGGCTTCAAGCTGTTTCAACTGTCGGAAATCATAAATGCCGAATACGGTTTTAAATCCATACACAAGTGGACATCTGATTTAAAGACTAAAACATTGGATATTATATTCTTGAATCGTAAAATATTCGATTTTTTGGTGGGAAAATGCATTCCTTATGAACCTAGTTCAACTTTTTTATTTACAAATCCTAAAAAAAACTAATTCTTGAACGTGTACAATCGTGTTTACAATCTATGGACACCATATAACTGGTGGACATTTTATTCGCCAAAGACTGTATCGCTCTCAATGAAACACTTATTATATTCTGTCCAAAAATCCAATCCTTTCGGAGTGGATGGGCCAAATATCATGAGATAGTCGAAATAATATAAATTCAAACACTTTTTTTCAACTTTTATACTATAAAACCGTACAGAATTTTGACATATTTATTGAATCTAGATTTGGTATACGAATGAAATTGACAATGTTTTTTACCTTCAATTTGAACCATTTTGCTTGATATTTTTGTCCTTTTTGTCCTCTCAATAAAGTAAATCTTTCCTCTTCGTCGCTTTAGCTCCATCTTAATTATTTTTCTTGACATAGTGCAGCGATCCGCTAGGAAACGAATGGAGAACGGTACTTTAAGAGTGGCTTTCCACAGATATCCCATCATAAATTGTTGACTATGTAGCCAAAAATAGAAAGTGACTTCAGTGACTTTTTGTGTCTACTGCGTGCTAATATATGCTAGCCCAAACGTGACAAAACTTCAAGTTGCATTTTTTCATGATCAAGCAGTACTTTTTATACATCAAGTTGATTTTCATTACACCAAG